ACATTTTTTCCAAACATATTTTTTATTGCAAAAACGAAAAGGTTTACAAAATTTTTTTAACCACATTGTTTGTAAGGCCATAAAGAACACATTTACTCAATATATCCCCCGCTTACTTGAATGACCGCCTCCATTCTCGGTCTGAAGCGTGCGCAGGCGCGCTTTAATGTGTCACGGTCCATATCGGTGAATGCCGCTTCAATAGCGGCTTTCAATGATCCTGCGTTTGGATGTCTGGACTTGTTCGTGACCCTTTCAACTACGCTCCATACATAGAAGTTCAAAGGATTCAAATCTGGGCTGTTAGGAGGCCAGAATTCTTTCGACCAAAACATTTCGACGTTGTCCGACAACCAATTTTGCACCAAATGACTTGTGTGGGCGGGCGCATCGTCCTGCTGGAAAACATACGGCTTTCCAGACGACACAGTTTCCACCCACGGCTTCACTACATTTGTCAGAACACGCAAATAAACTTCTTTTGTGACATTTTCCCCTTTGTTAAAGAAATGCGGTGGCATGACATCACCCTCACTAGATACAACACTTAGCACGTGAACATTCGCCGGAAAAAACCTTCGTTAGACTTCTCCAACTCATTGTATTTTGCGATGATATCATACACAGTCGATCTCGGGTACCCGAAGAACCGAATGATTTCTGTCGCCGAGCGCCCAGCGCGAACACTTTCGATAATCGCGACTCTTCGGTTATACTCCGCACGTGGTTTCAACATTGTGACTGTTTCGAGGTTATGATAGTTTAGTATATGCGTCAAGCTATTTGAACGCTAATCGCGACATCTACCAGTGATATAGAACGGCGAGAATTTCAAATTGAATTTTGTCCGGATTTTGGCGCCGCACCCTATATATTAATAGGCCAACTCGATAGTAGCGCCACTTACAACTTTTTTGTCATTACGTGGACACAGTTTTGTATAGGCAGGATATAAAGGTCGGATAGGGCTGTTATTTACACTTCCGCAAAATGACACATACTGAAAACTAAAGATATATGATGGTGCTTTGACATGAAGGTAGCGACAGTATAGCCCAATGCGATAGTACTAGTTACGCCATCTCTTGAAAATCCTTTAAAATTAATGCACTCCCAATACTTTGCATAAATCTATTTATTATTGATACAAGTATATTTGATACAAGTATTATTGATATAAGAATATTTTATAAATGAAAAACTATTTTAACACCAATTCCTTTTCTTTGCCCTATTATATAAAACTATTTAATTAATTCCAGAAAATATAAATAACTGTGAATAACAATAAATTAAACAATTTATATGTAAATATGTAAATCAATTATTATACATCAATTATTATACACATACTTATTATACATTATTATACATTATTATACATGTACTGAATATAGACGCAAAAAGTAGTTGCTATAAACAAAACATTTGTAAGGGTTAAGGCAGAGAACGAGACGTAAACGTCGTAGTCATAGACGTAAAATAAGACAGAAAAAAACGTAAACGTAAATTATGAAAGACTATTAGACTTACGTTTATGTTTTTCTCTGCCTTACTTTACGTCTACGATTACGACGCTTACATCTCGTTCTCTGCCTTAGCCCTAATTCTTTACGAATTCTCAAAGTGTTCTAGGAATTAAGTCGCGAAATATTTGTTATAATGAAGTCCTAAGGAATATTTCAAGACGAACTTATTGTGGTTAATTCTTCAAGAATTAATTTTTCTAGTCCTATATATATTTTTAAAATTAATTCTCTAGGAACTTCTATTCATCTCTGTGCTATCTGGGTTTATTTTGATAAAATTGCGACTGACTATTGTTTAATAAAATGTATTTAAAATGGAAAAATAAAGAAAATTTAAAAATACTATTCTATATACTTTTTCAGAAATTGTCAAAGAAACTTCCTTTTCAGTGAAAGTCAGAGTAATTCGTATCGATCATTTCAGATCACTTCGTAGAAAGTAAGATAATATAAGAAAACATAATATTGAAATTTCTCTTCATTTTTCATCTAATCTTTAATTTTTAATTCTAATCTTATATATTTCTCGGAAAAATTTAGTATTTTACAGTGAATGCGCAGAGAAAAAAACAAATTGCATAATTATTCAAAAAATGAATAAAAATTTTTATTGAAACGCTGTTTGTTTCATTTTTATAAAATCTGAAATGTTTCCTTATTTTTTTTAAAAGTGTTCCAGTTGAATTTTTCATTGTTTTGTTAGAAAAGAGGGGTGTCAATAAGGCCGTTTTTTGGCCCTCGTCAGAATCGCTCCAAACCGTGGTATTTTCTTCCTACCGATGTAGGAACCTCCTAGAACTGTTTGCTGAGCAATTAGAGGTTGCAAACGGGCAACTTGAAATCTCAAAAATCAATGGGGTTTTTCACATAGTAGTAGTGTCGGTCTCATTTCAGCATGTTATTGTTGAGCTTCCATCACCATATTTTCTCAAAAACTACTAGATTATGTGCTGCTTTAAATACGAAAGGAAGCTCATCAGACTTTCATGAATTCAACATAAAATCAAGTCTGGTATTTTGAACGGATTGCAATATTACTGAACAATCATGCAATAGCATCCCTTGCGATGAATCTACTTATAAGCTATTACACGATACTATTACACGATACTACTTATAAGCCCAAACTTGATTTTAAGGTATTAGATCATCTTATCAGTGCAATATACACTCAAGAAATCTGCTATTTACTGCTCAGTGGGCACAAACCATGTTTCGTCATTTGGACATTCTCAAAATGTCTGATGTGCGTCTCGAAGACGTTTCAAGGATGTTTTATGTTGCAAAGACTTCTTTATGATTTCTTATGTTTTTGGTAACAGACGTCTGTAAGTCATCTTGAGGATGGAAATAAGATATATTGGGAATATTTCTAGGATTACTCGTAGATGAATCTATCTCAATGTCCATGAAATATTTCGGGAACGACCAGAGGATGTTTATATGCTTTCCTGCTCGCTAGGTAATTATATAGCGACTGTAACTCCATTATCATGAACATAGATATTTTCGCATTTTAATTCTAACGCTGGAAATAGAACTCAGGTTACAACATCTAGGAATTGACAAAGAAGTCGACTTAGTGTGGGACAAGTTTGCAAAGACTGATGTCGAACATCAGGAGTCAAAAAAGAGATTGTGGCTGAGCATTTTTACATTCTAAGACGGAATGTCTTCCAGCTCAGCAGAGAGCTAATCCCTTCGAGCATTCAGGAAGACAACTTACGCCCCAAGAAGAATATCTACTAGAAGGCCAGACACACGTCACAGAAAGAGAACTAACGACGGCATCGGAAGTATCCAATTCGCCTAACAAGGGAATTAACAGAACTGTCCCTCACCGATTTTGATGCGCTTTGGATATGTTGTAGAGCATCAAAAAATATTTGACACGTATTTTCTTTTATCGGCTAAATGTTAAGTTTAGGGGTTGAAACAGCTCCTGGAAAAAAAGGACTTTTTCATTTTTATTGAATATATCTTAAAATACAAGGTATATAAAAAAATATTTCCTACAAAAGTTGTACAGTATTTAACACTCTTTGCAATGGTATATTTAATTTTTTCAAAAACATCAAATTTTTTGACACCAAAACTCGTTACCTTTGCAAAATTTGTAAGTTTTTGTAAGGACAAAAATTAGAGTATTTTATGCCAGATCGATCCATATATAATATTAGAAGGTGGTTTCGATTAAATTGTTGGAAAACGTCGTGATAATATCGAGCTATACGCGTCACGCCATTCAAGTAGATGAATACTATTGCTAGATACGTTACTGTAAGTAGGGGAATGTAATAAATTGTAGCAAAATAATACATAGACAATTGCATATATTTAATGTATAATATTTACAATTTATAATGTTATTATAATATATTAATATCATATAATTAATATAATGTTAAGAAAAATCGATAGAGGATTTGCATACACAGAAAATAAATGTATTTTACTTATGACACATATTCGTAACAAAAGTGGTGCTCATGGAAAAAATGTGTGATGCAAAGTGATCGTTTGCACCAAGAACAAGTAATTATAGCAGTTTCACCACAAACATCGCATTGTACTTTAGGATCTTTTTTGAAACAAAAATCAACCGATGTCTCGAACTTTGGCGGTCTATATTCTATAAATATCCACTTTTAAACCATGCAAATTTCAATAAGTTTTGAAACCTGGGTAACGAGAATTGATGATGTATTAATGACTGCAATTTCAAGATATTGTTCCTATTATGAAGATCAATTGCAAGATCGAGTAATATAACATTGTCGTAGAAATATTTAATAAAATTTTTCCACATTCGGAAGCCATATACATCTAGTGGTTGTATTTTTTCCGTTGTACCGGCCGGAATTGTTAGAAAATAGATATATATTGCAGAATCTGGTCTACTTGCGGCAATTATGTTGGGACAATGTCCAAGAATCTAATAGTAATACGGATTGTGGGCCGACGTTCGGAAAGAAAACTTCTCTCAACCAGGTTTTTACATGATTTGAAGTTAATTTACCTCACTTCGAAGCCATTACATAAATGTTAGGAGCGTTAAATAATAATTACTGCACTCGTGGACTCGTGCAAACGTTCCTGTGGATTCTTTTAATACGATCAAAAGAGGCGACAATAATCTACCATCAGCAGAAATTGTTTGTTTTACACGTTTACATATTTATGTGAACATTTTATACATTCGTCTCCCTATTATCGCAACAAATATAATGTAAATAATACGTTTATAATTGCGTTTTGATTTATTAATTTCTTTTAGATGCACTGTATATCTGATATCAAGAGACAGAAGAGAAGAAAAATAAGACAAAATAAAAATAAAACAATGTCAAAAATAAAAAGACATAACATTAATTATAAAGTATGTTTTATTTTTTATATAATTACAGTTTTATATCATAGTTTTATATAATCACAGGTGGAAACAAACATTTATTTTCAATCTGTTCCAGAATGATGTCATTTAATCCATGGAATGTCATACTGTTACTGTATGCAACATTCTCTGTTTTGGACCTTCCACAAAGTCCGATAACTTCGGAGGAAATAGAAGTGAAGGAGAAGGTTGAATACATGCTGAAAGCAATTGGAAATGATAACGAATTTGAAACAGAAGAGGAGCAAGCACTAGATTTTTATGATCCAAATGAGATTCCACATGCAGAAACAGTTGATTTGTTAGATCATGTTGAAGATAAGAATTATCTTCCAGAAGAAGTTATTTATACTTCTGTTGAAGCAGCAATATCAAACGACTACAAAAGACAAGCTGTGGAATACTAGAGAAGCGGTAAAACAAAACCAAGATCATTGGAATCGGTTAAAAACAATTATAAACATAAGTAATATCGCTACAACAATTACGACGATGGGAGAAGTATATCAATGTAGGTGATACCAGAAAAGAAAAATTGCAAAGAATTTCTGAATATACATTCAACAATTTCAATGAAGCGCTCCAAAGAGGAATGATAATTCATGATATTGACATCGATGAGCTTCTCGAACACAACAAGAGATAAATGCGCCAGGATTCATAGTGTCACATATGGGGGATTTCATATGAAGTGATCAAGCTAAAAAAAATTTTTTCTCCAATTATGTTTAAACTCGGGGCATTTGTAGCCCTATTAGGTGGTAATATTTGGTAGAAAAATTTTTCCATTTGCTCCAATATTTGAGGAGGGAGAGGGGATGAAAGTTTTGGGGGCCCGTTTCATTAAACAATTTTTTTCAGATAATTAAATGAATAAAAAAAATTTATGAATATCAGTTTCGATATGTTTTTTTATGCCCTTTCGATTGGTAAAATGCATTTAAAAAAAAAAAAATTTTGATTCAAAAAACTCAAAGTTAAAAATAAAAATGACTTTTTTTGGAAGAAAGACACGATTTTTTTTATTTTTTATTTTTTTAAATGAAAGCTGAGATTTTTTCCTATAAGAACATATAGTTCCGAAAATGGGCCTAGAATGTTAAATTCATGAAAATTAGAGTTTATCTGCTGACTCGAGCGCCGCGGACAAGAGCGCGAGGCTGCAGTTGACTGTCTAGTATAAGGAGGCGAACGTTAACGCTCTCTGCATTTAACAGGGTTGAGACTGTCATTTTGTGAATGCCTGCATTACGCTAACGCATAAATTTGGAAAAAATTTTGAAACTTGAAACCTAAATAAATAAAAATTTATAATTTTTAAAACGTAAAATCCTTGAGAAAGATAAATAGTGTACTTGAGCTGAAAAAGTGAATTTATAATTATATCTGAAGTCGTTAAATACTTACATCCCTTTAAGTAATGTCCTTCAGTTTTCGCTGTTTTCTTTGTCTTTTTTTACTTTTTGGGCAATAATCACTTT